ATCCATTGTCTTACTCAGTAGCTCCCAAATTAAACGACAGATTTACCCATCAATAGATCGGATCTGTTCCAACCACGGCATTAACTGAACATAAAAACATGGTAAATGTTGTCCTCCTTGTCCAACCATCAACAAGCAACGTGGTAATGAAAGCTTGTATTTATATCCCATAATGTTCCAATAATTTTCACTTATTCTACGTTTTTAACTAACGAATTATTCTTTATTACTGACATAAAACTCGGTAAATCTATAAACCCGATCACTATGAGCAAACATTATTACTTCTAATATCCCTGAGCTCAGCATAAAATGCAAATGACAACATTTTAAGACACCCAGAAGAATATCTAAGACCTTTTTACCCCGGTCAATGAGCTCCGTATGAGTTTTATACCCCGGTCAATGGGTACCTTGTGAGATTAATGTTGCAATCTTATTGGGGTTTTTTATGTGATTAGAATATCACAATGTTTATTTCATTTCCATGTCGTGCAAATACATTAAAGGGGAAATCATAGTTTGCTCTGGGCCTCCGAAAAATAAATTTTGCGTAATAAAAGCCCATAATGGGACGAAATTGGTTGTTAACCTTCACCTCAAAAGAGTTTATAAAGCTTACTGTAACATTTAGAGCACTCTACTCCAGTTTCGCATTGCTTTCCTGGATAAATACAACTATTTGCGACTGTTCGTAAACATTACCAAGTGGTAATTAAAACGGAGCAATAACCTACTCGCTGGAAAAGAACAAAAACTCGAAACTATCGCGGGAGGTTGTCACGTAGTGAGCGTGTTTGAGTCAAGGGACACGTTTTTCTCGGCACAAAGTGATTGCTGGGCAAGAAGTTCGTCTCCAACTCCAACGGACAACTAGACTGCAATATCACATGGGTGGAAGCGGCTGTTAAATAAATCACTTCGGTTCAGATAGTTGCCGGGGGGTCGAATAAAGAGTTCCACCTAATATTAACAAGCTTAATTTGCGGAAATATGTATGTGATTTCTTACATTAAAATTAAAGCAAAGGTCAATTACGTCATGCGGAGCTTGTTCGTCACCCATAGTTAAACTTTACTGAAACGTTAACAGTCATATTTACAAGCATTGTTAAAAACAAATACATATGTACATACGTCATCACGCAACCATGAAGATAAAAAAAAAACCGACCGTATGACTGTCTCAATGTAAATTTTTTAATTTATTGTTAAAGGAAATGCCAGAAACATGCTGAGCTCACGAGATCATAAAGATTAAAAAAATGACCATATGTCAGTCTCAGAATTACCACCATTTAGTAAGTGCAGGGGGGCTGCACCACACAAAATTTACACAAAAACAAATACACGGACAAGACATCATACTTAGGAAAACACAAATAAACAAACAATTCAAAAAAGTGAATGGATCCGGGGGGCTAGCCGTAAGCGTCCACTGCGCTGTACAGTCCCGAGTCTGTAGTGACACAGACTTCACTCAAATTTGAAAACATATATAGTGTTGGCGAGACTTGAAACCCCATTTCACTCCACTCTATTCTAATAATAAAACTGTAGTCGTCTCTTTAAGAAACAATCCACTGGTTCCTAATGAGTTGACATTTTGAAAGGTGAGAGAGTTTGAAACGATTTACTCCCAGAGTATTGACGAAGTTGTACAGTTTGTGTCAGATTGGTGATTTATTGTTCGAGTCTCCAGAGATTTATTTTTCGATCATCCAGAGATTTAACCATCATCGCCCTCCATTGTTTATATTCTGTAATTTATTTTTGTACTGTATAAAAACCCTAACCCTAACCTGTCATTTCTCACCGTCCCACCATCTCCATAGAATGTTTTATATTCTTTATTGTTACACTGTAAAGAAATCATACAATGATCTAGGATGTTACTTGGCGATTAATAATATATCCTTTTAATCAAGATTTGAAGATTAACAAAGAATCACAAAACACGTTCAACTGTGGGCGAATTCCATCTTTCAGCAGCGGTAACAGCAAATGCTCTTCGTCCAAAGGTTGTAGGTTTCTACTTTGGGATCGCTAACTGATTGAGATTGTTTGAAGGCAACTGTCTTTTTGGAATATACCGTTGAATTAATTCACAGAGGTAATCAGGAGCCTCCCCACTGACCTATTGATATGTTAGAAATGAAATGAAATGAAATGAGGTTTAACGTCCTACTGTTCTGCTCCTAACCTGGGCTAATGAAGACGGGCATACGCCATACAGTGTGCTATGAGGGAAATTTTGCCCGGGCAGCGGCGCTATAGCCTACTCTTATATCGAATTCCAACTGCCAAGGGATCTTTTACGTGCACGCCAATGTGTACATTGGACCTTGGTTTTTCTTCCCATCCGAACGACTAAACAGCTGTCCTTGCTAGGCCCTCCGTCCTGCATCACTGACAAGGGGGAACCACGCCGGAAAATCTGGATGACCTTTCACGGCCAATGCAGGGATCGAATACCCGACTTCCAGGCTGAACATGTTAGCTGGCAAGCGAAGCCTTAAAATAACTCATTTCAACAAAAAGTAAGATTGGCGAGGATCGAAATCCAATTGGTTGATCAATTGCGAAGGCAGTATATTTATTAAAGAAATTCCAACATTTATAGACCTTTCTGCCCACGCTGTGGACAGTTGGCTTATACAGTCTGAAGAGGATGTGGATTTTTGACAGATTTTCAGTTTATAATATTTTTGTAAAATATTGGAATGATATTTCCTTTATAAGCTGACATTTCTTTTAATGATCTTTAATCACTCGATCCCTTTCTTCCGATAAACATGTTTATAAAATCATTATTATTACAGTATAATTTTAACATGAAATAATATTGATGAATTGGTTGGTTATTTTCTCGGAACCATTCGATTGGAAATATGTTGAACCTAAAACAACGATCATCCTGAATAAATGATGTGTTCTAAAAGCATTCAACAAATAGAGAATGAAGCGTTCGATTGGAAACTTGTAATCAACAGACAAAGTGCATCTTAAATTAATGATGTTATCTGATCATGCGCCATTGTTTTATTAACAGATAGACAATCTATATGCAAACATTATTAATAATATATTCAAACAAAAACGTAATTACAAATACAAAATATAAAGGGACTTCGTGTTGATCTACATATTGACTGGGGGCTTGACCAAGAACACAGGAACAGTGTCCAATGATTCATTGAAGAGTAGGTGGAAACGCCACTGTCCGGGCTAAATGTCCCTCACAGCATACTGCATAGGGTATACCCGTCTTCCTGTTAAACTTCACACGGACCCATATAAATGTCCCTCACAGCATACTGCATAGGGTATACCCGTCTTCCTTAGACACGTAGACTGTTAAACCTCATACGGGCCCATATAAATGTCAAACGTTATTGTGCTGTGTTATTCAAATAAAATTGAACCACCATATTTTAGTCCCGTGGACCCAGTTGGTGTCCAGTAGATGTCATGCCCCTCGCCCTCTCTCTCTCTCTCTCTCTCTCTCCCTCTCTCTCTCGATTCCCCTCTCTCTCTATCTCTCTCTCGATTCCCTCGTGGGTTTATTCCTCCTGTTAAATACCCCTACACGCCTCCGAATTATTAAAATAAAATTAAACAATGTTACTCTCTTCTCTCCCCTTCTCTTTCTCTCTCTCTCTCTCTCTCTCTGTTGGACATAATGTCTCTTGAAGTTATGATTGAATACACAGGTTAATTAGAAGACAGTTGATAAAAACACCAATTGATTTTATCATAAAAACGGTTCCAGGTCAGTTTCTTGTAATAATCTATATTATTATGATTGTTACTAATTAAACCATAGTGCCACGTCTGTCTATATTATGATTATTACTAATTAATGCCACGTCAGTCAATATATGAAACGTGTGTTGTAAGATTAAAGGAGATGAACTTCTAACTCCATATTAAACCATAGCCCCATCAGTCAATATATGAAACGTGTGTTGTAAGATTAAAGGAGATGAACTTCTAACTCCATATTAAACCATAGCCCCACCAGTCAATATATGAAACGTGTGTTGTAAGATTAAAGGAGATGAACTTCTTACTCCATATTAAACCATAGCCCCACCAGTCAATATATGAAACGTGTGTTGTAAGATTAAAGGAGATGAACTTCTAACTCCATATTAAACCATAGCCCCATCAGTCAATATATGAAACGTGTGTTGTAAGATTAAAGGAGATGAACTTCTAACTCCATATTAAACCATAGCCCCATCAGTCAATATATGAAACGTGTGTTGTAAGATTAAAGGAGATGAACTTCTAACTCCATATTAAACCATAGCCCCATCAGTCAATATATGAAACGTGTGTTGTAAGATTAAAGGAGATGAACTTCTAACTCCATATTAAACCATAGCCCCACCAGTCAATATATGAAAACGTGTAGTAAGCTAAAGACGAATGTATATATCGACATAACATTTGAAGATGCAATACCCAGAGAACCAATAAGCTTTTTCCTTAATCAGCAGAAATGAAATAAACCAAGATGACCAAGGTATTGTGTTGACGAGAAATTAAACCCCATTCCTGAAGAGTTAAGTTTGAATACAACCTTTGTCTCGATGTTCGTGGATAGTTATCGGTATAAAACAGCGTCGGGTAATTCCAAGTTAATAAATTATACACAAAAGTAACTCGTAACCCACGAGGATGAGGGGGGGGGGGCATCTTAGATCAATATGTGATGGCAACCCACGACGAGTTAAAGGGTATCTTAGAAATGAAAATGTCATGGCAACCAACGAGGGGGTAGAGGGCATCTTAGATCAAGATGTGATGGCAACCAACAAGGATGTAGGGGGAATCTTAGATCAGAATTTCTTGGCAACCAACGACGAGGTAAAAGGTATCTTAGAAATGAAAATGTCATGGCAACCAACGAGGGGGTAGGGGGCATCTTAGCTCAAAATGTAGCCGATTTCTATTCTTACTTCTTATTTTGTCTCCTTTTTTTTCTTCTTTCAGAAAAACCATCCAAAAATTCTAAAGGACCAGGTAAGCTGATTTTACCTATTATAAAACAAAATATGTGGAGTCGTAATGACGGTGAACAAACTGATCTGTCTCAAGCATTAAACCGTTTCTCCCTGTCTTGACATTAATAATCTCATATGATTAGGTCTTGGCAGCGTTAGGAATCACACACGAAGCGGTTTTACTTTCTTAATCTATTAAATTCACGTTTTTTTTTTGTTTTTTGTTTTTTTGACGAAATGACGAAATGTGCAGTTCTCACGTGAAGAAGTGGCTAGGGAATAGCAGTCCTTCAAAACTAATGGATAGCTTTTCTACATTCAGATTCAATGCGGAACTAGTTTTAAGTCAGGCGGATTAGTTTTTTTTATCGACGGAAGTAGTTTTATGTCGGTGTCGATAGATTTATGTCGACGGACGGGTTTAAGGCCAGCGGGACTAGTTCTACGGATTTAAGGCCAGCGGGACTAGTTGTATGTCGGTTTGTTTCCCTGTGTTAAATTTCAACATGAATGTTTGTTTAAACATGTATTATGCAAAACCTAAATCTACCTATTGCAGGTCTTTCTTTAGGACTGAAATGTTACCTAAATTATTAAACATGTATTATGCAAGAGATAAATCTGCCTATCTCAGGTCTTTCTTTAGGCTTCAGATGTTATCTTAATTATTAATTACACATTAATTAACTTATCCAGACCATAATCAACTCTCGATGTCATCGCTAGCCTGCGATGTTTATTGGATTAGGTTCCGATTTGTCGTTCGACTTCCATTCATGATTTAATCATGAAATGGATAATCGAGACTATGTTTTTTTTTATCGTACTGACTTTAGTAATGATGATCGAGGCTAAGCCGAAAATTCAATCGCTAAAATCGCGGTTCAGAGTGGATCAATTTGACTGAAAATTTCAGCAAATTGCCTTTACATTATCTAGTTTTTAACTATTATAGTGAGAACTGCAAGCTCTTTATCTAATCTTCCATAATTTATTTTTGAATGTCCAAAATGATGTCATTTTAAATAGCCCTTGTATTGTTTCTGTTCTTTATACGTACACTTTCGATTCCCCGGTTGTACGTGACAAGGAGTAGGGTCGACTATCCAACCTGGTGGGTTTTCTCCAGGTCCTCCGGTTTCCTCTCACTGCTAACGACCCCTACGCGCAAGCGAATTATTGAAATAAAATTGAACCATGTGTTAGTCCCGAAATGACCTGTCTCTCGCTCTCATACGTACATTCGATTCATTCTCTGTCCATTGAAACTTATGTAAAACACTTGAACGCCATCTTGACTTTAACAATTAGTGTTTTAAACGTCAATTGATTTCACTATGTCATCAGGTCTGGAAACTAATCAAACCCGATCGATCATATATATCGATCTCACCACCCACTGCAACCTTGTCCGTAATCGATAAACTAAAAACACCATGGCGATTTACTCTCATACCATGTTAGAATGAGGAAACTTAATTTTAATGGATTGGTTCCTTACGAAAGTAGGCTAGGAGTTTACAAAACGGTTCCCTGTGTCAGTGTTGTGGACGAAGACCCCGACAGGGTAAAACCGTCTAGTCGTTGGTGTGTACGTAAAAGATCCCTTGACGGTTGGATTCCGATGAAGAACAGTGGAAATGTCACTGCCTGGGTAACATTCCCCTCATATAAATTAGTCTTGTTGTAAGGTGGTTCACAGTCTCAAATATTAATGTTAATAAAAACTGACCTGCCTTGTCAGCCTGTTGCATCTATAATCACAACTACGGGAATGAACAATGTTCAGTCACTGGGTGATCGCAACCACACCACTTAACTCAATGGCAGATCTTACGATTGCAACCACACCACTTAACTCAATAACAGACCTTATGATCTTAACCACACCACTTAACTCAATGACCTAATGATCTAAGTCACGCCCCTTGATTCAGTGACATACCTTATGATCTTAACCGCACCAATTGACTCAATGACAGACCTTATGATGAAAAGCACACCACTTGACTCAGTGACCTAATGATTGAAACCATGCCACTTGACTCAATGACAGACCTAATGATCGAAAGTGCACGCGTTAGACCATTCGGTCACCAAACCCCCGCCTTTCCAAGAGGCAACACACTAGATTACTGGAATAAAAACAAAATAACCAAATTATTGAACTCCCTATACCCACTAGTCGTGTACAACCAACACAGGCAAAGTTTACACAGATAAAATTATACGAATCTACGAGACATGACCCAAGGACTTGTTGAGTGTTGATTAAATCTTTTTCCAATTGATCATGATCAACTTCCGGTTGTTGTCCGTGATGCTCGTTATTATTGTCTACAGGCGGAGTGAGGGGCTGTTCAACAATCTAAATAAAGTTTTATGGTCGGCGTCTCTCTGCCTTATGAATCAGTTTTTATTCGTTTCATTCCGTCGTTTTTATTTCGGTACGAGATGTCCACTTGTCTGGTTGGTATTAAACATACATTATACAAGAGCTAAATCTGCCTATTGCAGGTCTTTCTTTAGGCCTGAAATGTTTTCAAAATTATTAATAAGACATTAATTAACTTATCCAGGCCATAATCAACTCTCGATGGCATAGGATTATTCCGATATTAAATATATTAGAACAGTTCAGCCATATTTTGATTTAAGCTAAAAATGGAGGACCGCGACTTAGCTTCGAACAACCAGTACGGTGGTTGAAATTATTGCACAGGCCTTGTCAAACCTTCAAAGGCTAATATCTTCGCTCGCAATAGAATAATTTGAATGAAATTTTTAATATTTTCATTTTACATTATCTTTTTTCGAACTATTATAGCAAGAAAGGCTAGATCTTTATCTAAATCTTACATAATGTATCTTTAACGATCTGCGTCCATTCTTGTAACCTGCTTGGTCAATAACGAGGAGACACCCGGATTCGCGCCCGGTGTTGGCCCAGAAAGTTCCTCGGGGGTATTCCAGCTTAGTTTACCCTTGTCTCTTGAGCGGAAAAGTAGGATCTTAAAAAACATTTCATTTTCCTTCTAGAAATGAAATGATGAACTGTCTATAATATAGAGAACCCCGTGGGTTTTCTCTGGGTCGTCCAGTTTCCTCCAAATGCTAAAGATCCCTACGCGCAAGCGAATTATTGAAATAAAATTAAATCATATGTTAGTCCCGAAATGACCTAGTTTGTGTCGAGTGGACGTTAAACCCCATTTCTCTCTCTCGCTCTCTCTATAATATAGAGCAGGCGACCTAGGGTCGAAACAACGCCACCTGACTCTCTGACAGACCTTGTGTTCTAAAGCGCACACGTTAGACCACTCGACAAACCCAGCCACTAATCACAATACGCATTTATAAACCTATATATTATCTTCGGTGCCGAAATGTGTATTATTATTAAATGGTGATCACGTGGCTAAGTGGGTAAGACGCTGGCTCGCTAGCCTGGAGGTCTGGTGTTCGATCCCTGCATTGGCCGAGAAAGTTCATCCAGATTTTCCGGCGTGGTTCCCGCTTGTCAGTGATGCATGATGGAGGGCCTGACAAGGACAGCTGTCTAGTCCTTCGGATGAGACGAAAAACCGAGGTCCCGTGTACGCATTGGCGTGCACGTAAAAGATCCCTTGGCAGTTGGAATTCGATATAAGAGTAGGGGATAGTGCCGCTGCCCGGGCAAAATTTCCCTCATAGCACACTGTATGGCGTATGCCCGTCTTCATTAGCCCAGTATAGGTGCAGAACAGTAGGACGTTAAACCCCATTTCATTTCATTTCATTATTATTAATAGAATGATTTATCTATTTCTGTATTAGTTTATCATCTCTAATTTCATTTTTATATCTTGTTTTTGTCAACAAACAAAATATTGGGATTAATCAAATATTAAATCGTAATTCTCAGCTATTGCCCCTGGTCAGTTTAACTTGCTTCATCGACTCTTTCTTCGGCCATGATTGCCTTTAATGTAGCAATGATTACTCCCCCCTCCAGGGAGAGCTCTGTGCACATATATATAATATCATTTTCGACAACCACTTATTAAATGCATTTAGCGTTCATATTCAAACCCCACTATTAACAGGATATAGGATATGTAATTTTCACAGTTGCGTTCGTGACTGGAGCTAAATGAGTTTTTCAAAGCAGAGCTTTTAAATTGATACACGACACAGCTATTTTATATTAAGAAAATAAAGGTCTTTAGCTGCTTTTGTTCGGAAATGATATACATCCGCTGATGGGACTATCTTGGTAATTCTGTCAGGGAGAGGAAAACTTTGCTAGACTTATTTGTAATTTTTGGGCTAGCGTGACAGGGGGAAATGATATTGGTTAAGCTGGCAAGCGGATCGAAGAAGCTGTCTGTGAGATGGGAAGTAATTTCAGAATTAAACAATGGTCCGCTTGACGTTATAATTTAGTTATATTATTGTTGATCGCCGCTAGGGAGCTCCTCAGTAGTTATTGAGGCAATTGGTTCTGTATGACCAAGTAGCGCGTGATTATTGTCGCTCGACACACGATTACGATATGTTCCTCTGAATTAAATTCCGATTGCTATATAACCAAAGATTATATTAAACATACATTATGCAAGAGCTAAATCTGCCTATTGCAGGTCTTCTTTAGGCCTGAAATGTTATCTAAATTATTAAACATTAATTAACTTATCCAGACCATAATTAACTCTCGATGGAATCGCTAGCCTGCGATGTTTATTGAATTAGGTTCCGATTTCCCCTTCGACTTCCATTCATAATTTAATCATTAAATGGATAATCGAGACTTTAGTAATGAAGATCGAGGCTAGGCCGAAAATTCAATCGCTACAATCTCGGTTCAAAGTGGATCAATATGACAGAAATTTTCAGCAAATTACCTTTACGTTATCTAGTTTTTAACTATTATAGTGAGAACTGCCAGCTCTTTATCTAATCTCCCATAAAGTATCTTTAAAATTACTTCTTCAAAGCAAATAAATATTTAGAAGTCTTTACATTTATTTGCCTTGAAGAGCCTTTTTTGTTTGTTATTGTTCAAATAAAAATTACGGGCACATCCATAGTGACTTCCGAGAAAATCACGGGATGAAAGGGACATTTATAAAAATTTTGTTCAGATATATTACGACTGTGAGTGAGGCGATGGTGTTGTATATAATACATTAAGGTTTCCCCAAGGGGCACAATAATCCCACGCATGCAAACCAGATATATTGTAATTTAAGGTTTTCCAAACGGTACTATAATCCCACGCATGTAAATCAGATATATTATAATTTAAGGTTTTCCAAGGGGTACAATAATCCCACGCAAATAAACCAGATATTTCGTAATTTAGGGTTTGCCAAGGGGTACAATAATCTTACGCATGCAAACCAGATTTATTGTAATTTAAGGTTTTCCTAAGGGGCACAATAATCCCACGTTTGCAAACCAGATATATTGTAATTTAAGGTTTTCGAAGGAGTACAATAATCCCACGCATGTAAATCAGGAAAATGATTATTTAACTATACGGCTTATTTATGTGTTATTGTATTCCCTTGGGATATTGGGAAACATGCCAGATTGAAATATGATATCATTCAAGGAGAAATTGTAAAAAAAATAACATCTAAACTAATTGTCGTAATATTTGAAGTGATTATTCTGTAATTCTCTAAGGTACTAACGTGAATCGCCGCCAGAGGGCTCTTTTGTTACCGGTGATTGTGGCACCACTGACGTCAATCTCAGAGCTTAAAATAATGGTTGATTTTGCTTCATGTAAACGTCCTTCTCGGTACACGTAAACGTTTATCTTGGTACATGTAAACGTCCATTTCGGTACATGTAAAGTCCATTTCGGTACATGTAAACGTCCATATCGGTACATGTAAACTCCATTTCGATACATGTAAACGTCCATTTCGGTACATATAAACGTCCATCTCGGTACACGTAAACGTCCATTTCGGTACATGTAAAGTCCATTTCGGTACATGTAAACGTCCATATCGGTACAGGTAAACGTCCATTTCGGTACATGAAAACGTCCATCTTGGTACATGTAAACGTCCATCTCGGTACATGGTTGATTTTGCTACATGTTAACTTCCATCTTGCTACATGTAAACTTCCATCTTGCTACATGTAAACCAAACGTCCATCTTGGTACGTGTAAACCAAACGTCCATCTTGGTACGTGTAAACCAAAAGTCCATCTTGGTACGTCAATGTTGCAGCTTGACAAAGTTTGAAATCAGAATATCTTTAAAAAAAAATTATACATACAAAGCTTGAAATTTGTTATGAAACCATCTGCAAACAGAACTTTGACATTGCATATATTGACAAATTGACAAATAATCTGTTTATGTGGAATTTGTTTAACATTAGAATTAAAATAAATATGCCTTGCCTGAGTTATCTGATAAATGATCACAAATCACAGTTTGCTAGTTTATAATTGTATAATAATATAAATCATTAAGGTAGTATATATAAAACATCCGTTTATTTGCTTCAAGATGAGTTTTTTATTTTCTTCTAGGCGTAAAATCTCTAAAATCATTTGATAAGCCTCCTTTTAAACCGATTAAATCAGAGCCTGGAAATAATCTACCGTTGATTTTAAACATACAATATGACGTCACATTAATAATGATGTCATTGTAATAATCATATTAAACATACATTATACAAGAGCTAAATCTGCCTATCTCAGGTCTTTTTTTAGGTCTGAAATGTTATCTAAATTATTAATTACACATTAATTAACTTATCCAGACCATAATCAACTCTCGATGTCATCGCTAGCCTGCGATGTTTATTGGATTAGGTTCCGATTTGCTGTTCGACTTCCATTCATGATTTAATCATGAAATGCATAATCGAGACTATGTTTTTACCGTACCGACTTTAGTAATGGCGATCAGTTGCTAAAATCTCGGTTCAGAGTGGATCCATTTGACTGAAATTTTCAGCGAATTTCCTTTACATTACCTAGTTTTTAACTATTATAGTGAGAATTGCCAGGTCTTTATTTTATCTCCCATACTTTAATTAAATGTTTTAATAATCAACTTAGGGTGCATTACACAGTGAAACAGTTGATGATTTCTGAAAAATGCAAACGATGGACTGTAAAAAAATATTGTTTTGTTTATCATTTCTGGACTAAAATCACCATTTTATCTTCTGGGCATTTATAAACATCAGTTGTAAGAAATATAACATTCCCAATGAGACTCCGGGTCGACGTTCACAACATTTTGAGCTAGTAAAAGTTTATACGACTGAGAGATGAGACGGTTTATGGTCTATTAATACTGACAATAATTATTCTAGACCTAGCTATGTGGCTCTACAGATTCTCAGGAACAAGTCTGGTATTTTTATATCCGACTTTATAAAGAAAACTAAAAGCGGTGGGGGTGGGGGTAATTTTCTAGTTATATTAAATTGTTCTGTAAATATTACTGTATAAAATAGTCATTGTTTATCGACATGTCCACACGAATTGGTAAATATATTTTATAAAGCGTAATATCTTATTTTATTTTGATACATTTGTTTACTACTTCTTTCTCTATTCATGAGTCCAACCTCGTGGGTTTTCTCCGGGTCCTCCGTTTTCCACCCACTGCTAAAGACCCCTACGCGCAAGCGAATTATTGAAATAAAATTAAAACCATATGTTAGTCCCGAAATGACCAAGTCTGTGCCGAGTGGACGTTAACCCCCCTCTCTCTATATATATATAATATAGAGCAGGCGACCTCTCTCTCTCTCTCTCTCTCTCTCCATGAGAAAAACTGATATAGGCCTTTGTCTGTTGTTCAAAACAAATACTGTTTAAACTATATAATCCAACCATTCTGAACCGCTAATATTGGTGTGTAATATTGGTGTATGATATTGGTGTATGATATTGGTATATGATATTTGTGTATGATATTTTTGTATGATACAGTGTATCGGCTGCAGACGAGTCCTGGGACAAGGGATTACATCGCAGTTCATCTGAATATTTCTCTTGGGTTTTAATATTCTGTTATCAACATTTTCTTACTTCAACTTTCAAACGTCTGTCCATCCATCACGTTATCAGTAATGTCTGCCTCTTAAAATTCAAACTATTTAAATAAATGGGTTGCACTGAGGATAAAATAGGGGTTAACGTCCTACTACACACTACCAACGAGGGTAACGAAAACAGGAGTGTCCTCGTGGGGGGGGGGGTTAAAGCGTACGTGTTGTATCATAAGGTCTGTCATTGAGGCCACTGCCGTGGTTTCGATTCCCCGTGTGTACGTGACAAGGAGCAGGGTCATCTGTCCAACCTCTACGCGCAAGCGAATTATCGAAATAAAATTGAACCATATGTTAGTCCCGAAATGACCTAGTTTGTGTCGAGTGAACGTTAAACCCCATTTCTCTCTCTTTTGTCCTCGTGGGTTTTCCCGAAATCTCATATTATTCTCCCAGATCTAAAGACCTCTAATGCAGAGTGTCGAGTGAATGTTGTTAATTAATTCACATGTGCTATTATTTTTGTTTCAGAAATCGAAATCTCAGGACTGACGTTTGTGGAGAAGGGAAATCCCCTAAAAGTGACGTGTAACGCCACCGGAAATGATTATCCGCCTGAAGGTTTGGATTGGTTCAAAGATGGACTTAAAATAACGCCGAACGATCGAACGTCGATCAACATGGACGTATCGATATCCGATCGAACTATAATCAGTACCCTAGTTATTCTAAGGGCTGATATGTACGATGCCGGAACTTACGTATGTCGTACGTCAGATCTACAAATCACCAGTGCTAAAGTTAATGTTTTAAACAGTAAGTATTGATTTTATTAAATAGTGGGACTGGGGAGGGGGAACGCTAAAGTTTTTGGTTTTGATTTTTTTTTTTTTTTATTAAACGGGTTTAATGTTGCTGGTGAATTGTGCAGGGGTGGTGGTGTTGGGGCTGGGACGTCATTTCCAGTCCTCCAAAATGTTCCCCAAAACCCAAGCGCTATCGTTTATATTTCAAAAATAAAGATATATGTTTTCATAGTCAAATGACCACAAATCACCAGGGGCCTGTTTCACGGAATTTTAACTACGATAAAATCCAAATTTTAGTAACTTGATTGGATAATATAAGACTTATTTTAGTGTTTAGCCAATCAAGATTGAAGTATCTACTAAAATTTTGATTTTATCTTTAGTTAACATTTCGTGAAACAGGGCCCAGTTCTAAATTTATTGTTTAAATCAGTAAGTAATTGTGCTTCATGGTCATTATTAGTTGTTTTTGAACTGGTGTCGAGCAGTCACGACACTAAAGTCCACTCGACAAAACTAGGTCATTTCGGGACTAACATGTGGTTTAATTTTATTTCAATAATTCGCTTGCGCGTAGGGGTCTTTAGCAGTAGGAGGAAACCGGAGGGCCCGGAGAAAACCCACGAGGCTGGACAGGAGACCCTACTCCTTGTCCGTACAACAGGGGAATCGAAACCACGTCCGTTGACTCAATGACAAACCTTATGATACAACGCGCACACGCTAACCATTCGGCCATGCACCACCGCTCCCCTTGTGACACATGGGTTCTCAATTGAATAATAAATCAATGTAGAACATATGTACGCTTTGTTTCTGTTAAATGAATGATAGAATTCGACATGGCGGCCTAATAGATTAAATTACCTAAAGAAAGGAAATATGAATGATTATTTTGTTTATTGATTGTTCCCTATTATTGCCCAATTGGGAAATGTCATGATAAAGTCAAACGTTTGTTCATTTTATTGTTTAGTCTATTTATATTATATAAACCATCAGTCAGTTTGTTACTGGACAATGTTGTTAAAGCACGCGAATTCCGCGTGTCTCAAGTCAAAACGAATTATATATTGTATTGGATGTTATAACGTCTGATGACCAATTCGTGTAGAATTAAAACATTCGTGATAAAAGCCAGCTCGTTTAAGATCAGCCGCCAACATTTTTATAAGTTAAACGTTGAGCTCAGAAAGTTCAAATATTCATAAGACGTGTACTGAGAGAGAGATGGGGTTTAACGTCCACTCGAAACAAACTAGGTCATTTCGGGACTAACACATGGTTTAATTTTATTTCAATAATGCGCTTGCGCGTAGGGGTCTTTAGCAGTGGGAGGAAACCGGAGGACCCGAAGAAAACTCACGAGGCTGGACAGACGACCCTACTCCTTGTCACGTACAACCGGGGATTCGAAACCACGCCAGTTGACTCAATGACAGGTCTTATGATACAGCGCGCACGTGCTAACCATTCGGCCATCCAATCCCCCAAGACGTGTACTGAAGTCAGTAGATTGGTAAGAGTTCAAAATGTGAACAGACGTGTTGCAATCCAGGGTCTTAGACGGGCATATAAAAACGAACTAATCAAATCATTTTACGAATACCATACACTAAATTGAACCATTTGTTAGTCCCGAAATAATCTAGTTGGTGTCGAATGGACGCCCCTCCCTCTCTCACACACACACCCACACACCCACACCTACCACACACACACACTCCCACACCTATCACACACACACACACATACCACACCCACACACGCCCACACCTACCACACACACACACGCCCACACCTACCACACACACACACGCCCACACCTACCACACACACACACACCTACCACACACATACACACACGCCCACACCTACCACACACACACACACACACACGCCCACACCTACCACACACACACCCACACACCCACACCCACTCACACACACACGCCCACACCCAAACACGCACACACACACCCACACACACATCAATTGGTGTAAGTAAACTGATTTTATTTTATACGTTTATTACAAATGTCAAGTCGTCTTATGTCGGATCTTGCTTCATGATAAAAGATAATGTTCCCTGTATTTCTGCGCAATGAACCACTGTGCCGCAATTATGGAGCGAGGTTTCAAGAAGACAAATCATATGTTCAATGAACAACTAACCTATGCCAATATTATGGAACGAAGTCTCAAGAAGATAAATTATGTGTTAGTTAAAATTAGTTAACTGATCGATCATAAGAACTAGAATATATGAATTAGTTGAAGTATAATATATGAATAACTTACATCACTATATATCTCACACATGACAACTCTATCCATTGTGAATAATTCACACCCAATATTGACGTAGTTAACCGTATTCACGAAATAAACGCATTTTATTTGTAATAATTACCAGTAGGCGTTTCTGTTGTATGTTTTATTTTTAACGTTAGCCCTCACATTTCTATGCTGGGGGAGGGGGGCGAATGGTTAGCCTGTGCGCGCTGTATCATAAGGTCTGTCTTTGAGTCAACTGGCGGGGTTTCGATTCCCCGGTTGTACGTGACAAGGAGTAGGGTCGCCTGTCCAACCTCGTGGGTTTTCTCCGGGTCCTCCGGTTTCCTCCCACTGCTAAAGACCCCTACGCGCAAGCGAATTGCTGAAATAAAATTAAACCATATGTTGATCCCGAAATGACCTAGTTTGTGTCGAGTGGACGTTAAACCCCATCTCTCTATCTCTCTCTCTCTCTCTCTCACTCACACACACACACATTTCTGTAAGACTGTGTGTGAAATAGCTTTATTTAACGTCCGCTTCCACCGAGGCGATATCGCAGACCAGACTAGCAATTGCCTCTTTTGATACCAATTCCGGAGGGCCTGACAAGGACAGCTGCCTAGTCCTTCGGATGAGACGAAAAACCGAGGTCCCGTGTAAACATTGGAATGCACGTAAAAGATCCCTTGGCAGTTGGAATTCGATATAAGAGTAGGCGATAGTGCCGCTGCCCGGGCAAAATTTCCCTCATAGCACACTGTATGGCGTATGCCCGTCTTCATTAGCCCAGTATAGGAGCAGAACAGTAGGACGTTAAACCCCATTTTATTTCATTTTTTTGATACCAATTCTCTATTTCTCCCTTTCCCCCTTTTGAATGTCAGTTTTTGTTGACTTTTTGTTCTAGAATCTAATTGCCATTTTTTGTCAGGTTTTGTTGAATATTCATGATCAGTATGTAAACAGACTCCTTTCACCGGAACTAGCCAAAAAGAGAAATGGTCACAGATCACTAATGATTTCCCCATTGACTTTAATGTTAATTCTCGTCTCTTAGACCGGCTCTAACTTTTTCCCAAATATTCGTTGGGTAGATGGAGCAACATGTGGCAAACTCTTGTCTAAAAACATGTATGAGGTTCACCATGAAAAACTTGAGATAAACAAGCTGGAAGTAGAGACAAGTAAACATGCAATTTTCGGCCCTACGTTTCAACCAAACCAACCTCTCAACTCTTGTATCCTTCCGCCCGAAAATCATGAATATTCACAAAACACATGGCAGAAAATGTATTTTCAGACGCTTTTCTTCGATTCTACACCAAAAGGTCAACAAAAATCGCTATGCCAAAGGGGGGGGGGGGAGGAAGACTAGAAATAACTTTCGCCCTACATTCGTGACGGCGTAGAAATATTTGGTGAGCTGTGTCCAAATGGGCAATATTTTTATCTGTTGAGTGTCACGTGTTTAGACTCGTCGTGTTTATAAAGATGGAGATCGTGGGAATGCTAAAAACAATATTATAGACCACGAACTGCTCTAGAATTAATATTGGGGATCAATAAGTCCGTATCACTTTGAGAAACATTTTAGTAAATATTCGATCGGTCGCTACGGTCAATTGTGTTTTGCGCTAGTAATCACTAACTTTCTTGGCCTTATAAATTTCATCCAAACTAATCCAGTGTAAATTTTCTGTCCGGCGCTGCCGTCACTGGAGAAGGATATAATAGGTCTAGATTAATGTCGCGTCATTATAACTTTTTATCTCCACCGATTAAATTCTGAAACTATTTTTAATGTATGAATTAGTGTAGAAAAGTTGAACGTTATAACCAATTTCATTTCATTCCCGGTTTTACTTTACGTTAACGGACAATCAATATAAGGTCTGGATACAGTAGTCTACCGTAAAAAGACCTGTAACTAGAGTCTGGTAGACAGTGAAGCACGCTCTGTCTGTTCTACAATTGATTTTAAAACATGATCTGGTTAGTTAAACCATTATATATTCACCAATAGAAACACTTTTTAGGTTTAGTAAGGTTATTAGAACAGACACTGACCTCTTCCCGTACTATATATTAAGGTCCATATTTGGAAGGGGTTATAATTGGTAATTATACTGATCTCTTCACGTGCATATTATATGGAAGAGGTTATAATTGGTAATTATACTGGACCCTTCACGTGCATATAATATGAAAGAGGTTATAATTGGTAATTATACTGACCTTACGTGCATATAATATGGAAGAGGTTATAATTGGCAGTTATACTGATCTCTTCGCGTGCATATAATATGGAAGAGGTTATAATTGGTAATTATACTGGACCCTTCACGTGCATATAATATGAAAGAGGTTATAATTGGTAATTATACTGACCTCCTTACGTGCATATAATATGGAAGAGGTTATAATTGGCAGTTATACTGACCGCTTCACGTGCATATATGAAAGAGGTTATTTAAAACATGGTATATATGATTTTTGCTATTGAGGCACTCTATATAATAAACAAGCACAAAGACTATTTAGTAGGTAGTTTTAGGATTAGGGTTAGGTCAGCAATGCATCATAAATATTTGGACGCGGTTATTCATAAAAAAAAACTGTTCACGTATTTATGTAAGCGTGTAGTGTAGATTATAAAACGTCATGTGGGTGATCCCTATCTGTACGTTATTAAAACCCTATGTTACTTCAGAAATAT